CATCTACCACCATCCTGTCCATCCATCAGTTTGTCCATCTACCACCATCCTGTCCATCCATCAGTTTGTTCATCTACCACCATCCTGTCCATCTACCACCATCCTGTCCATCCACTTGTCCATCCATTTGCTCACCACCGAGTCCATCCACCAGTCTATCCATCTACCAACCATCCTCTCCATCCATCAGTTTGTCCATCTACCCACCATCCTGTCCATCCATCAGTTTGTCCATCTACCCACCATCCTGTCCATCCATCAGTTTGTCCATCTACCACCATCCTGTCCATCTCCCACCATCCTGTCCATCCACCAGTCCATCCATTTATTCACCAACCAGTCCATCTATTTACTCACCGATCCAACCATTCAGTCAATGCACCTAATGATTTTCATTGTTTCATGCAGATTACAAGATATACCAAGTCCCAGAGCCAGCAGGTGGTGCAATTCTAATATCAATAATGAACATCATGGAGGGCTATAACCTAACTAAATCATTACACAATGACCCTCTAACTTACCATAGATTAATAGAGGTAAGTTTAATGTCTTATATTACACATTTGTATTTAATTGATATCCATAGAGAGTGTTCTTTATATCTCCTTATGGATCACTTCCCAGTACAGTCAGACCTGTGTTAGTGACCACCTTCTATATAAAGACCCCCTGTCTTATTTGACAATCTTTTCAGAAATATTTTTGCAGACTCATGTTTGTTTAGAGATCAAAATAATAATTTTAGATGACAGTACCAATTCATTACTTGGGACACTCAGTCATTTTATGAATATAATGTACAATCATCTGTGTTCATCGCTTGCTGCCGAATATCAATGGTTCCTGTATAAAATATATATTTCCCCCAAATATTTCAAACTTGAGATTCAACAGAAAATATTTGAGTACTCAAATAAATAACTATTTTTTTTGACTAGGCTTTCAAGTTTGCCTATGCCCAGAAGACCAGACTTGGTGACCCAAAGTATGTACCAGATGTGAATAATCTCACCAATATTATTATCACGTAACTCCATTATTTTGTCATAGATTTTAAAGTTGACACTACTCATAATTTTTGAGAAGTTGGTCATAAATTGCATGACAGTCATCATGCATGTTATACCC